AGGCCATAGTCCATCTAAATCATGCTGAAATATATAAAGAATTTATCGAATTTTAAAACACACTAATTATTATAAAACGGAATATATCAGTTGATACCACATTAGGAAAGATCATTAATATTAACGATTTCATATTATAAATAAAGATTATTATTTCGCAAACACACCGCTTTCATTTCGCCCTACAAAAACAGAAATTTCATATGGTACAACTTAAATGTTACTATTTTTTGGCAGAACTTAAGAAAATTAAAATTATAAAAAAATGTCAACCGTGTAAAACTCTTTTTTCTAATTCCACTTTAAACTATTTTTCTGCGTATTTCATTTAAACTTTACGTTCAAGAATATCCTTTTTCGCCTAATGGAAATTCCACTTTTACAAACTTATCGTACGAAACGTGTTAAAGCTACAGAAGCACCTTATGTACAGAAAACGAAACGATTTCGACGAGCATCGTATGTATTTATCCGAAAACGACTGTGAAATTGTTCGAGGTTTCCGCCGTATGTAGATCGTTGATAGAATTTTCGCTGACACAGGCGGAAAAGCGAGTAATAAAGCTGGTGAAACGACGTTTCTCTCTGAACAGGATCTCCATCTGGAAAGAAGCTATCCCATTTCTCTCCCCACGAATTTTCTTCATTCACTTCGTCCATCGATTTTCCCCAATTTCCCGACGTTCCCTTCAAATTGAAAAATGCGACTCGATCGTTGAGATATGGATCTCACGGTGGATCCAGCCGAATTGCTCTACTATGGCAACGAGACTTTCCCAGAATTTTCATCTCTTACGAGAGTTATCCTTTTCTTTCCTCCCTTTGGAATTTCTTCCAAGTAAAACATTTCGACAATTTTTTTGATCGCCCAAATTTTTCTAGTTTCATTTCCAATTTATGTAATATTTCTTGGGGTACGTTGGATCCCTTGTTCCAAATAAAATTAGTTTGAAACTTTTCAAAGATGCAACATGAAAATTTCAGTGGCTTAGGTGTTTCTGTTTTCATTTTCCATTGATGTGAGTTTTTTTTTTTGGAGTTTATTGGATTTTTTGTGTGAATAATAATCCTGAATTTTCTATCTTTTGTTCATCATTAAATTGAGGAAAAGTTTCAGACCAATTTTCGCATGCATAAATTTCGCTTCTGATTTTCAACGCGGTACTTTTTATCTTCGAAACTATACATTTTTATGAAACTTTTATTATTGATGCATTTAATCGGACATAAAAATATCAACGAAACGTAAATATTATTATGGTTCGTAAATTCCCGAAAATTACCAGGCAGATTCGAGTATTTAGGCCGTGGCACTCAAATCGTACGTTTACTAATATAATTACCGGATATATAGCAACAGTTTAGCGAACAATTACATTATCTCGCTAACTTCACACTTTAAATTCCTGCGGTTCAGTTGAACGGATATAATTGCACTGATCGCTTCGATCTTTCGAAATTTCGTTTAATCTCCGAAATACCACTGTAACGAGGCTGCGAACCCTCTACAAAAAGTTTGAAACAAATTTTTTAGAAATCTGAACAAACTAATTTTACCTCGTAATTAAAAGAAAAATTCCCAACTTTGAACACTTGAATTCTAAAATTGTTTAAATATGAAACTATGTCGCTATAATTGACGCTATCGGCGCGATAGTTTGCTAAAAAATGAGCGTGAAAAAATTGTAGAATGATCTACAAAAGATTGAAGGTGACCTTGAAAATTTCGAAAAAAAAAAAAGGAGATAGACTGATAGAAAGTGTACTATAATGATCAGAAAGACCTTTTTGAACCATATTATCCAAGGCAAGGAAAATTTCGATCGGTTCACTAACAATATAATAATCTAAGGTGATCACGTTTTGTGGGCCACCTTGTATATCGATAGATTCACGAGCGGTTACTGCAGTAGCTCTTTGTAGCGAAAAGGTTAAAATTAACTGGTCCATCATTTACGAGATCCACCCATTTCTAAAGACAGCAATTCCATATGCCATGTCTAACAGCAAACAGGCTGAAACAGATCGATCGATCCATTCCTTACGGCGGAACAAGTGAGAACAATAACTCGATCATGTGTAAAATTCAATCGTTTTATTAATTGACAAAGTGTTCATAATGGGCGGCGACGCGGCACGACGCGCCTGCCACGCTATTAAATACGTGTACTGCGTTAACAAATATGTACACACGGTAGGTAGATTACGTAACAAACTAGTGATACACCTCGAGAATGATTAGGGTCTGGATGAGGAATGGGAGATTTTTTTTTACTTCGTCCTCTGCTTCCGCCATTGAGGATAATCGTCATTTTCTTCTTCTTCCTTTCTTCGAATTTTTTCCCTTTTTTTTTTTTGGTTTCTTGTCGTCTCTTTATTAATTCGTTTATTTACAAACCACCTGAATCCGTGAGTATTGGCAACTAGAAGAGACTTAGGTACTAGATCATCACACACGCGCTCTCTCGTCATCGTATACACGCTTCCTCTGCGAGCAGCCACTGTATAGTCGGTGGAAGAAATATTGAGAAGTAGTGAGATTGGTTAGGAGTCGATGTTTGTATGTACGACGGAAATCTGAGATGATGAGGGCCTGAAATCTCAGTTAAGGTCCTATGATACTGATTTAATTTGAAATCGAAAAATGTAAAATTTTGCATGTGACCCTAGATGTCACTGCATCGTAAATTTATTAATCCATGCGGCTACTTAACCCTTTCGTAGTTTAGATTCAGAGAGACTCGGGCAGTGGAATCGAGTGTGACTGTTTATTTTCAATTATTATATATAATATTAAGTGTACAAATTAATTCATCGAAAATAATAGAGATTATTTTCAACGGTATAATTCTGTTCGATTTTTATTTTCTTTTGTAAATAAATATTCCAGTTTACACGTAAATTATTTGAATTATTATATGCTCTGTAGCTTTCTCTGTTTTCGCCTTGGGTCTGAAATAAACAGTAACGTACTTGACGCTCTTGCCGAGTCTCTCTTAACGTTAATTTACGACCTTTTAGAAAGCTTTAATTTACGACCTCGCTATATCTCTTCCACCGACTATACGCCGACCAAGCATGCAAGCCAGCCAGACAAGCGAACAGGCAGACACGAGGGCTGCGATTTTTTTTTTTTGGTCTTCGAAACTGCACGTGTCCTGGCTGAATGTCTTCTGTTGTTCGAGAAAAACGTCTGCCGTGAACTGATGATGTTCTGGAATGAGCTTGAACGAGGGGAGAAAGATTGACCCATTTTCTTTTTCTCTTTTTTTTCTGGATTGAGGTGGAAATTTTAAGGTAGCGAGAATTTTTTTGGACATTCGGAGTATGTGAATTCGAGAACGATGAGAATTTCGAAAATGAGGTGAGAGTTATTTGGAAATTGGAAAAAAGAAATTGGTATCCCAGTGGAGAGAAAGTAAATAAAATTGAGGAGAAAAATTAGTAGCTCGTGGTGTGAGTTTGAATGTAACGAGTGTTTGAAAACAAATGTAGAAAGATAAAAGAAATTATTTCATTTAAAAAATAATATGAAGAAACAGGAAAATTAGTAGACGTGAGTATTGGCAGCAACAAGTGTTCGAAAAGATGGAAATGATGTTAGTGATAAGGATCTTACGATTCTCTTAGGCTTATATCTGCAGAAAAGGTAGCAAAAATTGAACAAGTCAATGTCTTTCGAACGCAGTGTTAGACGTTAGTCTCCAGTTCATGGAATATCTTGTAAATTTTTAAATTACCAAAAATAAAATTAAAAAGTCTCTCTTTCTAGAAAAAAAAAAAAAATGTATACACACATATATGGACATTATAAAAAAACATTTCTAAAAAAAAAAGTTAATTGACAACGAGATAGAGGATTAACAGGGATCTAGATGGAAAGTAAATAACCGAGGCACTCTATTGGAAGCACTATAATTTACCGTCCATTGAACCAAAAATCCATCCAATAATATTATACACACACCGAAACGAAGTGATTTGCGTTTGATTAAATTCTTAAAATTATGCACAACGAGTATCTAAAACGGTCAACGTCGAAAAATATCGCCTCCTGTCGACTATACACATATGTATTATATATAGTCCGATTCGTGTTATATAAAAAACGTCACAAAGTCTTACTTAGTGTTCTTAGCATCAGAAACAGTATTATTAGTCTCTCTCTCTCTCTTTCATTTTTTTTTTTTTGCCGTCTGATACTTGAGCAAAACGAACTTCAGTTTCCTTTTAGTCTTCTCTCGAGCTATTTACAAAAAACGAACCGTCCAGTTTGGCGCAAAAAAAGCATCGATTCACCGGGCATCGACGGTAATTCCAAATGGCGGACATCGATCATTGACGCGCGAGTGGCGCCAATATCGCTTGGAACGTTGGTAAATACGGGCAGTGAGGAGGGGAGGAGGGGGTGTATAGGAAAACGTGCAGTTTCGAGACTCGACGTCTTACGTAATCGAAATAGGTTGGACAGACATAACTGGATTGAATTCGATCAAATATCCTGTGTACTACTTTTTCGATAAATCTGCCGGACGTCTTTAAATATACGCACGAGTTTAATACAAACTTTCTAGGTCCCTGTATGCATACAACCTTGCTCGATGTACGTTTCGAGGAGTGCGCCATCGGATGATTTAAAAATGCGAGCCGTTCGCTTATCAGGTGACGATAACTGTGACTCTCTAAATACACGGTGTGCTACCGGTAACAAGTAAATATGCGAAAAAAAACTTTCCTTCGTAGCCGATTTTTACATTTAGGCAGTATGTAACGTGTTATCGAACGAAACGGGTACGAAACACTCGATATCCCCGAGGAAATGATTAAGTACATCTAAAACGAACGAACATAGAAGAGTATCACAAGTGTTACGAGAATACCAAGTCGCCAATTCCAATCTTCACATTTTAACAGTTTCTCCACCTTTTGAACGTCACCTGACAGGCGGCACACGGCTCACCGTATAAAATGCGTGTTACTTACTCTTTCTCGCCCTGTCTCTCTCACACACGCATACACGCACACACACACAAATACTGGCACACACCGCGTGGAATACAGTCGACGACGAACACAACGAACGAGACTCCGTACCAAGTGATGATGGGGAAACAGGACGCGCGACTGAACAGTGACATGGTGGTATGACGAAGGTTTCTCTCCAACACGATCTGGAGGGAGGGGAGGAATAAAGCGACGGACGAGCTTTGAACAAGAGTATACCGACTATTTGCTCGAAAGCCATAGCCACGAGGGCGTCTTTCACAGGGACACGAACTCGTGCGGCGGTTGTATGATTCGCGGTGGTGGCGGCGGCGATAATCTCAAATCCACGTCCGTCAATGAGAACGCGGAGCTCCCGTTCGCGGTCACACGGGGCCCCATATTGTCGTAGGGGGAGCAGAGGTCGCTCGAGCGCAGCGCTCGTCGCGGCAACGTGGCAAAACTTGACACGCTGCTTGCCGCTGGCAAGGCGGACGTAGTTTTGTTCAAAACACCGCTTGTCCCGTGTACAGGTATATCCAGTAAATCGGGATAACAACGATCGGATGAATCCTGCGGCACGGACACAGAAATGAATATATTCCCAAAGATTCCAGCTGGTAGTACGCCACTAGTGAACTCTGGCGGTGGCGGAGGGAATATAGCGGCACACGGTACGCTTCTCATAGCGCTAATCGAGCTGCTGCTGACCTCTGGTCGCAGTCTCTCCACAGTCACGGTAGCAGCATTCATCGGATCGCAAATCGAGCCTCTTTCAGCTAGTTCGAGATCACCTGTACTACAGGCCTCCACTATGCTTCCATGCCCGCTACCTCTGTCGTTGCTGTTCCCAGGCGTAGTGGTAGTGACAGACAAATCCAGAAGCTTCTTCTCTTGATCACCGAAGCTCGTACTATTCTGTAGCTTCACCTTCTCCCGCGCACTATGTCGACGAGTCCCACCACACACGCACAACGCCAAAAGAACCGCCGATATGGAGGCGCACAACGCAGCCGCTCCACCGCCAGCCAGGCTCATCCAGAGCAGCCAATTGTCGCTCTGGGAGAGCGTGGGTGCGGTGTACACACGTGGAATAGCCACATTGACAGTGTCTCTGGCTAGGCCAGCGATATTCTTTGCGAAACAGGAATATTCCCCAGCGTCACCGTCGCTGGCATTGTAGACAGTCAGGTTGTTCCACCTGTCGATGAGTCTACTGGACGATGTGGAACGCTCGTTGTAAGTCATATCGGACGTCGCGTAGGCCACGTACGTTCCTGAATAAGTCTGATCAGTCAGCTTGGTGGCATTCACTGGACCACCGTTCAATTGCCACCATACTTCTGGTTCTGGATCACCAGTTGCTAGACAGGCTAGGCTCAGGTTTCCATTAGTCTCTTCTTGGATACTGTTGGCTAACACGAACACTTCAGGCTCACAGGCGAACTCCACAGGCTTCACGTCCTCCCATTTGCGTCCCTCTAACCTCAATGGCGACGAACACACTTGAGGCACCGAGTACAGCTTGCTGGGTCTACTGGGGATCAGCCAAGATCGAAAGTCTCGAAGCCTACAGTCGCAGCTCCACTGGTTGCCGTCTAAGGTTAAAGTCTTTAGACGTGGTACACTCGATATCACCGAGACCTCCAGGTACTCCAGTTCATTCTGGTCTAATCTTAAGGACTCCAGACCGTTTAGGTGAACGAAAGCTTCGCCGTGAATCTTGGTTAACGAACACCTTTGCAGTTCTAAGTTTCTGAGGTGTTGGAGAACCGGGAACTGATGGGTTCTCAGGCTGTTCAACGGGTTCCCGCTTAGGATTAGGATCCTCAGTCTTTCGTTGCCTAGGAACGTGCCAGGTTCGAGTGCTTTCACATGGTTGTCGGACAGGTCAATCTCCACCAAGATCCTCATGTCCCTGAACGAGTCTGCGTGAATTTGATGGATACCAGCGTTCCTCAGGAACACCCTCTGCAGGTTCAACAAGCCTGATCGTTTGAAGATCTCTGATTGTAGAGCGGGAATCTTGTTCCCTGATAGGTCGAGGACTTGCATGTCAGGGTCCAGTGAAGCTGGCAAAGAGGTTAGGCCAGCATCAGGACACAAGGCGGACTTCTTGCCCGATGTCCACTTGCAGCGACACACTGCTGGACAATCGGTCCAATCCGGGAACGCTGCTGCTCTGGAGAGGAGGGCGAACGTACCGAGAAGGAAGAAGAGGGCTAGCAGGACGCGCCCTCGTAGAGGGTGATGCCTTATCCCTATCATGCCACTATCCGTTTCTCTTCCGCTGGCTGCTAGTCGTCCCTGTGTCGTCCTCTCTCCGTCAATTAGGTAACTAAAAAGAGGGAGAACAGTTTGACAAATTGGTTGGATTGTTTGTTTCTAGTGGGGTTTGTTGCTTTATGTAATTGGTGCAAGGTTGATGTTTTTAATTTGATTAATATATTCTGTTAAGTGAAAGGTCTATATTTTTTGTTTGGTTAGTTATTGTAGTCTGGTGAATATGAGATGGATGTTTTTAATTTGGTTCGTGTCACTTGTACTATAGTGAATATAATACGGTCAATGTTTTTAGTCTGAATATTCCTTGTCTTGAGATAGACATAAAGCCAATGTTTTCAGTTTGTCTAGCTGTTTCAAATGTCAACGTTTTCACCTCTATTAACCGTTGTATTCTAATAGTCATAAAATCAATGTTCTACTATCCACTCACAGTCTACTTCAATGGTCCATAATCTTATCATTCACAGTGTTTTTGTCTCAGTTACAGTTTAAGAATTGTAAAGTCAATATTTTTAGTATATTCAGTCGTCGCGATCTACTATGATGACAAAAGTTCCCGTAACCGGTATTTGTACGGCATAATGGAACAGGAAGCGGCGTAGCGAAAGGTACATTTTGTTATCTTTTGCGATTGGAACTTTTCTTCTCGTGTAACGGGTGACCCATTTTAATTGTTACATCGAGCAATAGGTATTCTCGAAAGTTCTCAGCTAACGACCGATTTCTGCGTGCTGATAATTCCTCTGATACTGAACATCATTGCGTGCAAAAACAATACGACGATGAATTTCACGTGTATGTTGTTTCTTTGTTTTTGTTTTTTCTCGTTTTTCTCCCCAGGACACGACGCACCCCTAAAGGTCAACGTGTAATCGATAAAAATGATGGATATTTTTCGGAAATAGGATACATCACGTGACGTGGAGAGAACTAAATAAGTGGGGTCGAAGGTTTAGGGGAGCAGTGGAATATTAAAGAGGAAGTCCGTTGGGCGGAAAAGAAGATAAGGCTTCTCCATGGTAACTACTGCCACCTTTTGAAATAAAAAGTGTAGATTATAATATTCATCGAATGAAGGAGCAAACATATTTCACCAACGTAGTCCTGAACCCTCGAATATTCAATCTTAACGCAAACAAGCTCACTCTCGTCGTAAAATACACTCGGGTGGATCAATTAAAATAGGTCACCCTGTAGAACGCGCATTTTAACGATACAAAAACGCGCTCGAAGCGGCATTCCGTCTTCGATGTACACACGTATACAGAATATACGTTTCCGTATTATTCTGCACCCCGAAACATTTTACCTCGTCACACTTTAAAAACATCCTCGAACCTGTTGACTGTTGTACGAAACAGACTGAACCGGGAGACTTTTCATAAAACGGGTGAACATAGAAAACAAAAAAAAAAAGGGGCGCTCTGATATCCCTCTATTCACTTTCCGTGGCGAAACGAGGAGGCTAATTACCGGGCTTGATTTGTTTCTCGCCTGAAAACGAACGAAACGAAGTGTCGGTGGAAAAAATAGAAACGAAAGAAATAAAACAACAGTTGTCACGATTGAAATGCGAGCATTTTTTTCCTCGAGCGAACAACTAGATCGTCGTTGCAATTCAGGGCGGCGGGCTAAATGCTCCGGACAATTCGCGTTAAACGTCCCGAAACGCAAACGCGCGACTGTCGTTTAGCACGTTCGCGTTAGCATGGAAAATTACGCGTGATAATTTCCGGATTAACACGCTCTCCGCGACGCTGTTCGCTCGTTAGAGGCAAACTATCGCTGCTTAATGCATTATTGTGCACCATTGGTTAAACAACAACC